TTCTGACTCATAGCAACCCTGTATAAGGTTTTCAAGGAGCACCTGGTGAGTTTGAACCACCAACCTTGTGATTCAAACTGACCTTGCAGTCCAGTACATATATTTATATATGGAATCCTGGTGTGGCGCTGTGGGTTAATGCGCCAGACTGCAAAGCCCTTTGAACTTCAAGCTCACCAGTTGCTCCTCAGAAACCCTGTATAGGGTCGCTATGGGTGGGATCCGACTTGATGCACTTAACAACAATATACATAAATATATAGGGAGAGAGACAGAGAGAGAGAGAAAAGCTTATTATTATTATTATTTTTTAATGGCTTACAATTGCAGAGTCTCAGGTCCCCAGTGGAAGAGAGAATCCCACCCAGGTGTCCACACCTCCAAAAAAACATCCCTTTGATTGACTGGCTGCTCATAGCCACTAATCAGAATTAACTATGCCTGTATTAGATTCTATCACCATGGAAATAAGTATACCTTAACTGCTAAGCCACTGGAAATCCTGGCCTAGTTAAGTTGACGTAAAACCCTAACCATTACAGCTGCTAATGGAAAGGTTAGAGATTGGAGTCAACCCAGAGGTACCTTGCAGAAAGGCCTGGTGATCTACTTCTGAAAAAATCAGTCATTGCATTGAAGCTGCTTATGCGCAACCAAACGTGTCATGGGTTTTAATTCTAGGTTTGGAAGTTTAGGGTCATGGCTTCATGCATAGTGTCTGAGGTCTTAAAAGCTTGCAATTAGCCATCCAAAGGATGCCAATTGGTCTCCATTCACTGGAGCAATAGAGGAAGAAGATGGAATGGAGAAGGAAATAGAATATGTGGTTAATGGCTTCCATGAACAACTCCTTCCTTTGCCATGAGACCAGAAGAAGTGGACGGTGCGGTGCCCAGCTGTCATTACAGAACATTTTGATCAAAAATCCTACAGAAGAATCTTTATCAAAAGGGGGAAATGCAAAACAGAATTTTTGATTCTCATGGATGCTAGACTTTCTGGAGCTGTGGAGGCGGGGTAAATCCATTAAACTATTACCCTGAGATAATCTTTACACCTAAACCAAACACATCCCCTAAAGTCTTCTTACAACCAAACAGTTGTTAAGTTTAACTAATTAAAGAAGTTCTGTCTCAAACATTGTGCTCTTGAAGAACTCTCTGTTGTTGTTGTTGTTCAGTGTCATGGGGTTGATTCCGACCCATAGCAACCCTGTATAGGGTTTCCAAGGAGCGGCTGATGAGCTTGAACCACTGATCTTGCAGTTCAAATGGCTTTTAAGTCTGTTGCATTTAACCCACAGTGCCACATCTAGGTGGGATCTAATTGACAACAGCAACTCAAAAGATTAGATGGGAACTTAGAGGCCAGTGAGTTTATGTTA